TCCCAGCACCCACATGGTGGCTAACAACCTTGGTAACTCCAGTTTCAGGGGATCTGATGCCCTCTTGTGACCTCTTTGGGTACTGCATAAATGTGGTACACTTACATGTAGGCAAAACACTCATAAACATAAAAATTTTTAAATTTTAAACACAACCAGTTTTAATTTATTTACTTATTGTTAGTTGTGTAAGTGTATGTGTGTGCAGGATGTACATGTGGAAGTTCATGTCATAGAACACGTGAAGGTCAGAGAAAAACTTTGTCGAGTTAGTTCTCCCCTTCCACCTTTATGTGGGTTCCAGGAATCTAATTCAGGTCACTGGGATTTCCAGGAAAAGCATCTTAACTTGCTGAGCCATCTTATCACCCCTATTTATTTTTGAGACAGGGTTTCATGTAGTCCTTGTGGCCTTGACTCGCTATATAGCCATAGATGACCTTGAACTTGTGATTCTGCCTTTACCTCTTGAGAGATGGGATTACAGGTGTGCACCATTATGCCTGGTGTCAGTCTTGGGGAATCAAACCTAGGACTTCAGCTATGGTAGGTAATCAGTCTACCAAAGATACATCTCCAACCCTATTTATTTATTGTTTTAAGACAGTGTCTCACTATGTAGCAGAAGCAGATCTTGAGTTTATGATCCTCCTGCCTTAGGCTCCTAGTGATATAACTACAGGGTTCACTATTACACCCAGAGTGCTTGAACCTTTAAGGAGCACAATAGAGGCCAATTCTGAGACTAGGAAAAAGCTGACGACTTGAGCCAAGTGCAGCTGCTGCAGTAAACAGTTGTTACCACGATGACATTTTGGCACAGAGAAAATTGCAGAAAACAAGTTCTGCCTTTCTCCTCCAGGTTTGTGGGCTTCCTGTAGCACCCTCTGTTGGTGAAGCCTAATGAAAATCACTGTTAGAGCAGAAAACTTTCCAGAGCTAGGCTTGGTGGTGCATGCTTGTAATTCCAGCATTTGGGGAGGCTGAGGCAAGAGGATGGAAACTTTGGGATCAGCCTTGGCTACATAGCTAGAACCCCAT